CCAATCCGTCTGTCGATCTCCGGCTCCCTTCTCGCATCACTCGCGAACAAGACCCCGAGATACTTGAACTCCTCCACTTGGGGCAGGAACTCATCCCCGACCCGGAGTGGGCACTCCACCCTTTTCCGGCTGGGAGACTTGAATGCTCACGTGGGTAACGACAGCGAGACCATGTGCTATATTAATGTAATAATAAAATATTATTAGTGTATGAGAATACAAATATTATTCTAATCTAAATTCGGATTCTAATCTGTTATGTAGGTCACATGCAGTAAAAGGTAATTTAAAAAAAGCAAACTTTTTTCTTTTGCCTCCACACCTAAACAGTAAAATGAGAACAGCCAGGGTTTCAGCAGATTGGGGGAATGCTAGGATCTGTGTAGTGGCTCAGCATAGGGAAAAGAATTACAATTCACAGTCATTTCTAATGTGAGCCTCACTAGGTTTTCTTAGTGCACAGGATCAGCTGAACGGCTGCTCTTTGTGGATTTACACAACTGAATTTAACAAGATGTACGCAGATGTTTCAGTGCCATCATGGCTGATTTCCATCCTCTACACTGACAGTATGGTCTTTATACTATCTTTATACTAGACCATAAACAGTTGGTATAAAGTTGAAATTCAGCGAATTAATCTAAGCACTCTCATCTTAAATGCAAATTCATCTCCACTGCACTTGATATAACCTAAATGTGACTCTGAGAACCACAGCCACTGTGCACCAGTCACACACAGTGCTTTAAAGCAAGCAAACCTGTTTATTCTGCACAAATCTAACCAGAATTTTCATGCAACATTTAAAAAACAGTTAGTATACTTAGTTTAATTTGCAGGATGTCTCACAAAATGAAAATATATAATATATTAGACCACATCATACATAGATAGATACATCTGAGCAAAATGATGACATTACATGCAAGCTTTGAATTTGCAGTTTATCAAGTGTCCCTGAGTGATCCTTATCTTTAAATAAAACCTCTCTTCTTCCTCTCTTGTCCCGTCTGTCTCCCAGCATCTTTCTCCATCTCTGAGTGAAGTTCTCTTTCTTTTCTCTCCCTAGAAAATACAGTAGCTGGACTAGCAGCTAGCAACACACTGTGTGACAAACTGCACAAACAGCTTATGTGTTTGCTGATGTTTGTTGAGCTGATAGAACTGTTGAATATAAAATTACCTGACACTTTAAAAAAATGTTGCTCACTTGATATTTCCTCTCCTTCTGTAGAGCTAGCTAGATGCTGAAGTACCGCAAACACAACTTACGGGCACCTCTACTCCTTCCTGCCCACTTTAATATAAATGATGCTGTTCAACCAAAAGTAACGGGCCTGTTCTGAAAATGTAAGGAGTAGAAAGTACAGATATTTGTTTTAAAATGTAGGAAGTAAAAGTAAAAAGTTACCAGAAAAATATATACTCAAGTAAAGTACAGATACTTAAAAATTCTACTAAGTACAGTAGTACTTCCCATTCTGGCCACTTAGACAAAACCTCCACATCACCTGTGGTATACGAGGAGAAGTCAAAACCAAAGTGTGCTTTCAAGGTCAGTTTGAGGACTTCAGCATCACCTAAATATTATAATTAAACTTTCTAGTAAGAGAAAATTTGTGCCTTAGAATAAATTTCTACTTTTTCCAGGACAAATGCAATTACCTTTCTCTTTGCAATTATCTGATGAATATTTCTCACTTTGTAAGTCTGATAAAACTTTTATTCTACGTGGATAAAATAGTTACATTCGTCTTTCTATGAGTCCAGAGAGGTGTCATTGGGGTTTCAACCACATATGCTGGTATAGATTGACTAGTAAATTAACAGCCTATGTTTCACACTCAGCTCTATCTTCACCACAGCAGACTGGTACAGTGACGCCACACCAATCTACATGCGACCCTCAAACATGAACAAGACCCAGAGATACTTAAATTCCACCATTTGGGGCAGCAACTCACTCCTAACCCATAGCTGGTGCTCCACACTTTTTTTTGGGCTGAGAACCATGGCCTTAGACTTAAATCTTACAGACATACAAACCTAGAAATAAAATGGTCACATTTATGTTTTTACTCTCCAAATGGGTTTCAAAGTCATATACGTAAAAATAGTACGTATGTTCATGGAAATGTTTCTCTGATTTTGGCAGAAATATTAATGTAGCATTAATTTCTGGCACCTTTGAAGCTTAAGCTGAAAGCATAAACAATCAGCAGAAGCGGGAGTTCATTGCAACATTAACAAGAAATTACTCAGGAGACCAATGCAGAAAAGTCAAGTTGCCAGGCTTATTACATTCCATCATTGTCTATTTAATTAACATTTCTCTCTCCCCTGCACGCCTCAGTTTCTCTCCTCATGGCAATATCCACACAGAGTGAAATAAGACAGCAAATAACCGGGGCCATTCTGTTTAGAGATACAGTAAATTGCTTTGACATGAGTGGATATACAGTTCAGTACACAGTTTAAATATACATCATGTCATATAGTTAATCAAAATTTGTGCTGTGCATGCAACGGGAGGAGATGCATGTCACCCACAACCTCCCTTACAAACAGAAACTCTATTAAATAAATTAGAAACGTCTAAGGCTAGATTTAAATCAAACAGAGTATGTGATAACTATAGGGCACACATCAAATGGAACATTGTACATTATGTGTAGCATTTCAGCAAAGCTGCTCCCTGTTGATTGCAGAGAATTCCAACAGAGACTAATTCAAATTCAAATTCAAATTCAAGAAGAAGAAGAAAAAGTGGATAAGAGCAACATACTTTTGTGAGAAAAGGCTTTATTTTAGTCAATATATGATTTTTTTTCATATTGTGTAAATTAAAGCGAGGTTTGGCAAATAACAGATGCTAAATCGTAATTAATTGACAAATACTAGTTGTTTATTTCATGCAGTCCAAGGACAGCAGAAACGGTCTGTTTTAATTTCTCACGTCTGTTTATTGCCCGGCACACATTAGTCGGTCTAATGAAGTCAGTAGTTCCCATCACTGCCTGACTTCTTCACCCAGCTTGACACTAATATCCCAGCTTATGTCATTAATGGACTTTGTTTTATTCACTAAAGTTCATGTTTGACTACAATCTGAGTCTAAACCACACACTAGAGGAGTCACGTTAAAGTAACTGTGACACAAGCAGTGTGTACATCTTTCTCAGAGTAAACAAGCATTAAGCTATTTAATGGGGGCAATGAGGCACGCTGCTGAGTCAGCACCACGTTAATGAGAAGCGAGCAAATTGGCTTCTGACAGCTGCCAGGATGGAGATTACAGATATACACAAATTAGTGTCACTTATTGGAGAGAAGGAGAAGATGTTCAGTGGATGTAATATATTAACAGTTCAAAAACATTCTGTTTTTAAGTAGTATAACAGGCTGCTTCTGTGATGCTGTTGTGACCTTATCTACAACTACAACTGAAAAACTGTGCCTCTATACGACACAAGTTCATTCTCTTCCTTCTTGTATTGGTAAACATTGCACTTTATACAGATCACCGCTTCTTCAGTTTACAGTGCCTTGCTATGCTAATAATATATATTTAAAAACTGGCAGTTGGTGATTTGTGAATTAAAAAATAAGTTGCTCTTGCCAAAACAAACAGTGCAGGGGTCGATTTTTTTAATGCGCCTTAAATTGTTTTCCTTTTCCTTTTTTTTTTTTTTTTTTTTTTAGATAATTATGAGAAAATAAGCTATAACGGTTTGAGAGCCTTGCATCTTTGAAAGCATTGTTGTTATTGATAGCAGCTGAGACTAAATTTAAATCCCACATTGGAATCTGAAGCAAAATACTCAAATGGACAATACATATATTCTAAATGGAGCCTGGATGGAAATCGTGTTTTTTTGTTCTTTTTTTTTTGCTTTTATTTTACAATTTTTCTGCCACTACATAATAACCTCAAACAATACCAGTCAAAATCAATACACTGCACACTATAATGTATTTGGTCCTCTGCCAGCACTGCAGCATGGCACTGCTAGTTATTCAACAGCTTGTTCCCCTTGCCAAGTCATAGCACAGGCATTCACTGGTAGAGACTGCCCAACCGTCCTTATTGTGTCCATTTTTTCTTTGTGTTTACTCTTAGAGCTAAAACAAAAGTTAAATTACCCGTATCCTCCTAGATGTGAGACAAAAAACAAAAAATTAGTGTTTAAACCTTCTCCTTTTACCTACAGTTGTAGCTTTTTTCTTTTTTCTTTTTGCACCCACAGTAACAAGTTCAATAATTTTCTGTGGTGTTATTTAGCCCTCATTGACTCATTGATTTTTCTACATTCTATTATTGGTATGTAGAATTTATATACAGTAAATTATAAACGTTAGCTGTAGTTTTATATATAGTTAGTTACTGTTGTAACTGCAAAACAAAAACAAATTACACTCATAACATGAGTACATTAGTACTACAATCGCAACTTAAATCACATCTGCACCATGATCGCTTGAGAGGGATAAGGAGAGAAAGCGGATGTGTTGAGGGTGAACCCATGCTGTGGGATGTCATTATTTTCTTGGTAATAGAGCATATCCCCATGCCATCACGGGAAAGAATGCCAGGCTGCAGTATTCATGTGACAGTAACATGCATTAACCTGCCTCCAGATTTAATTGCTCATTAACTGAATGTGCCAGATTGTCCAGATTGTTCCAACCCCTTTTAACCTTTGATTTCAAGTGTCTGATAACCAAATGTGCTTTTTTAAGCATGTTATTTAATATTATGTTTATATGCTTAAAAATATGCATATAAACATATATGTTTTAAAGGCCTAGTATTAGACAGGTTTTACTGCTGAGTTCAGACACTCAGCTGAATACTGAATAATAACTAAACAAACTGAGGTTGGATGCTTTTTCTTTCTGAAGGATTTGATCGGTATTTACAGAGTGAAATCCTTTTAAAATATATTTATCAGAAATCATCAGTTGTGGCAAACTGATGACTGTCAAAAAAAGTGTGATTACCATTAAAGACACTAAAAGCTCCTAAGACCTTCTGATCTAATCTAATCTGCAGAAGCACTACACTACAAGTGCTGAAACATTGCAACAGCTGAGACTGAAAGAACAATAGACAAGTAGAGATGGTTGGAGGGTCATCTTGGGATGTAAAACCCTTGAGTGTTTACTCTCAGGGGTACCAAGTAATGTGCCAGCTTGCCATCCAAGGCTAATGTTGGGTAAGATTCATACAGACACCCAATTGTTCCCATCATGTCGCCTGCCATCCCCCTAAGATGACTTGGCAATTCCGTTGAGGCAGACAAAACCAGATTAAGGACTAGAAAAGTTTTGCTGTCCTTCACATACAGAGGGTGTACTATGTGTAGTGATATTGCCAAATGTTGCAGAAAAGTTGGTGCTGTAAGCTGACGTTTAAGAACATTTAATCAAAAGGGATTATAGCGAACTGAGACTTAAGTATTTAATGCAACCCCCATTTCACAATTTCTTTTGTTGTATTTTGGGGTGCTGCACAAATCTGAGACAGGTTGTTTGTTTACCTCCTTTTCAGTGGAGTTTATGTCTGGAAAGTGTTTAGAGCATTCCACAGTTGACATTTTAATTCCAAGTCAGCACAGTGTAGATATGACTATCTCCTCCAGAGTTTTGAGGAACCAGCTATAGTTTAAAAAAAAGGCTTAAATTGTCAAATCATCAATTTTATCATGACACTGCATCAAACTGGGTGTTCACATTGGTATCCTAGACTTGTAGATATCTATAGATTTAGTGGTTGCATGCTACTTCAGGTTTAAGATGTTCAGTGCTTCTTAATTATGTGGTGTGTCTTTATAAAATAAACTCAAAAATGTAGGTAACTTGAAGGCCTTGCTATACAAACCAGTAGCCTTCAACATGTTCCAGCAGTGTAGTGCTCCTATGTCATTCAAGCTTGTCACCCCCATTGCTCCTACATACAAGCACATAACCTCTGTCAGGTATCTTACATCAGTATGCTGTGAAGTCATTATTGAAGCCTGAAATCTAATTTTCCAGTAGGCATGTAAGTCACCAAGAGGGACAGGTCAGTGCATTGGACTGAATAAACAGCAGCACAGAGATGTTGAATCTCCCTATCCCATATCTCCATATCCCCCCAAAGCCTTCTCCGAGCCTTAGTGCATTCTGCTGTTGCTTCATTGACCCGCCAGCTGCATTTTGCCTTACCTCCCCCCGCTCCCAGAACCACATACAGCACAGCATCTGCCTCCCAGGATTTCTACAATTGTTTTGCAAGCTGTGTTGCACACAAGTTGAGCCCTCCCATCCAGCATCTACAGTACAAACAGTACCAGTTTTTAGAATTACAAAAAAGGAAAGAAGGAAATGTTAAAACTTAGTACCGTTTTACCTTCCATTATTCAACTAGAATCCATCCACTTTTGTTTACTATTTGCAGAGGGCTTAGTCATTCATCGTATGTGAATGAGGTTAATAAAGATTCAGTGCTCCTCCACTAATAATAGCTTACATTACTTTTTGTTAATGCAGGAAGTGGGACATGACCTCACCACTCTCTCACCGCCTGTTTTTTCTGTATCTGAACAGGAGTAGCAAAAGCTGTAACTGTTTGCATTAACGGAGGTTGGTAGTACATTGATAAATATCCAATCGGCTAGTTTTTTTGTGTACAAGTGGGCACTGTTTGCAGCCAAATCAACTGAGAGGCACCGCCTGTGTATTGTAATAACATGAGTGCTTCTTCGGTGTATGATGAATAGTAGGTATGATGAGTGTACGCTTTGCTTGTCCCTATTGATGTGTGTGAGTAGGATGTCACAGGCCACAGAATGATGTAATGGGTAGCAATCACATAGACAGTGAGGCAGTCCATCAGCAGCACTGAACATCACACATAAACCATCACCACATCAGGCCAGTCCAACAAAACATCCCTTCCCTAATCTTGTGCTACGACTGCCAAAGCGTTGGTTAATATGTTATAATCTCCTGATGTTATCTCCACAGTTGCAAACACACACATTGACCCAGGATGATGGTGCATGTCGCAGGTCATGCTAAGATTCTCCAGTGGCCTTTTCCCCATGGTCTGTGCTACAAATATGATTCAGCAGTACTAAGAGACTTCTTATTAATATAAGAGCATGTTGAGTGAAGTCAGGCCAGCATGTCACTGCTACCAAAGCAGCTGATTCTTGACTATCAAATGTCAGTGTCTCAGCGAGTTTTACCTACAGTTATGCAACATACGCATAGTGGTGCAGGGAAATAGTCTAATTTATAGTTCTTAGAAAACAATACCTTGGGAAAAATTGGGAACAGCTAATTATTAGTGTAGCTTTAGCACACATAAGTTTGTCCTTTATTATTTAACACATTTTTTCTGATTCTTTAGAACAATTCACACTTAAAAAAACATGCTATCACCCTTAAATCTGCTTTATTTTGACACTTTTGTTCAGGTTTAAAGGTTGCTAAAAACTCCTTACTTGACCACTCAGCATGTAATGTAAAAAATCTTGTCTGAAGACTTTGGTATGATTCTCCAAATCGAATTCTGTTCTTTAATATATGCCTGCTTCAGACCACAGAGCACCACTGCTGCTTTAGTGTTTTGTTTTGTTCCATCTTTTCTGTGTAGGGTTCCTCCCACCAGTATATGTCAAACACTAGCCCACTGCCATTCATTTTCATTATGCTTACATTGATTTTTCTATGTGCTAACTTCACTAACAGGAATGGGGGTATGGAACTGAAAGCTGAGAGACTCTGTGTTGGATAGGGAACATGACCTATTTACCCACCCACTTCCATCAGTTGACTCATGTCCCCTGTCATGTCATTTTCAGCTTAGTCAATCTGTTCCTTCTAACGCTTTTAAGTAAACTGAAAAAAATCCATCCTAATCTGACACCGTGCAATCACACTGGCATGTTCACATACATTCGGATCTTTTGTAAACACTATCATAATTTTAATAATAATTGGGATGCCATATACAGTACAACCACTCATCACTTACTGTATGCACGACAAGAGCCATTCTTTTGATCTTTCCTGTCTATGAACCTTAATGAGGCTTCATGACACGCCACTGCACCGCAGCTTCCCCCCAGGGAAATGAAAAACCAAGACCTTTCATGAGGACATGTATCAGGTGCATTAGAAACCCAGAGTGCGTGGCCAGACTAAATTGAGCTTCATATTGTTCACATCCAGTTCGCTGCACTGCACATTTGACCTCATTGCATAATGTTCAGTTATTCTTGATGCCAGTTAGTGGGGTTTTCTAAGGACAGAGACCTGATTAATGCTAAAAAATCTCCTTGCAGGCAAATTGACAGATAGTGAAATAAAAGAGTTCCTTAATAACTTCTGGAAAAAAAGTGCAAAGAAGGTGGGAGTGTACATTGAAAATGGTATACACAGAGCTGTGAAGGAAGCAAAAGAAAAGAGGGACGTATAAACACAAAACACAGTTACAAAATAAAACTCAAACTTATAAAAACAGAGACAAGTTGCCACAAAATGACAAAGATACAGACAATTATCAGTGTTCTTCCTTATTAAAAAACACAAGACAAGAAAACATTTTTATCTCAAGTAAGAGTTAATCTTTTAATTTACAAATCGCGACACGATATTAAGTGTAAGTGTAGTTTTAGCTTAATCAATAGAAATGTTTTTGCTTTCATCATCTTTTTTTAGACAGAGCCCATCCTTCAAGAAAATAAATGTGTCTAAAGTTAGCAACTCTTAAAAGAAGGAAGCATGACCTTGAGCTCTGCCAGACTCTGAGCTTTTCTTTGTGTCTCCATCAGTAAGCAGACAGTTTAAGCCAGCCGGTGTCTGAGATGATGCTTTTAATCATACTCCATACTCATCCTTGATGTGTCGTACTGGAGAAAAAACTATGTAGGACAACATCACTTCACTTACAGTATTCTGGGACTAAGACTGCTCCTACTTGATGGGGTATAATTAGCATGAAGCTTTTTATACAAACTTTCAGAAGCTCTGCAACATACATCCTCAAGTTCTCTATATCCTCTTTCAGACACGCGCTACTCTCTATTGATCGGCTAAAAAATGTCTTGGTTGGTTTCATATCTCAATGAGCACCATGGTCACTGTTCCATAGAAATAGCAGTTAATGATATATTTATGTTCATCCAACATGTAGTATGAAAGCTGTAAATCTCGTGCTCTATAAGTCACTTTATGTAATGTGCAATTTTGCTTATTTGGGAAATATCATGTATGTACAGTACGGTGGCTTACCCATCACTTTAGAAGACGAGTGAAGCCACTAATATTGCATATCCCATGTTTGATACCAGATGTCCCTCTTCACTTTGACAGGAGCCCATTTTCAGGGTACTGAAGGGGAGATTAGCTGAAAGAAAATCAAAGTGTTTTAGTCATTTATTTTCTTTCCATCTTCTCGTAGCTGTCTCATCATGATGGATATTGCCCAAGGGCTTCGACTGACTTATCTAGCTATGATTCACCCATGTGACTGTTCAACCATCCGTTTTGGCAAGGGAGCATCTCCTGCACTTGATTCCCTCCTCCAGCTAACTCCTGTTGTGATGCTGGCAAGGACAGATGCTGGATTTTGTTCTGATAACAGGCATTTAGAGACTCCTATTAGTTTTGGCCAGCTAGAAGTATATTCAAGTTGATGCACATCTAAATCATGGTGTATAATCTTTTCTTCCTAGTACCCTGCCTTAAATGGCCAACTGAAAAGCAATGTGGAGTTAAGTATTAATGAAAGAAAAAAAAAGACTTAAAAATAATATATGGTATTTTATATTAATCTAAGCCTGTGATTTGCTATGAACTTGGTCCTCCACATTCCTCTGGAGCTAAACTTTATTTCATATAACCTGACCTGAGTGCAGTTTATTAAATGATTATTGTATTATAGCTTTATTTTTGTAAGAACAGTTTCTGCAGTTTTAACATTCACAGTCACATTGCTTAGGACTCCGTACACAGCAATCTGTCACTGAAGCTTTTAAGAACCTCTCCTTTGCCTCCGGCAGAGTTAGTTATGATTCAGCCATAATTCACGTGGGACCTGAAAACTGCAGGGTCATGCAATGCATGACTCATCTACATACACTGCACAAATATGTGCCAGCGTAAAACATAGATGCTACATTTCAATTTACATTTTTCATACATCCTACTTTTCTGCAAACCTGCTTAGAGCACCTTGAGGGTCAAATAAGGCATGCCAGAGCTGGTTAATGAGTTTTTTTATTGGCATGATTGAACTCTAAGGTCTTCAGGGTCTGTGACTTGGAGATTTTTTAGCAAATCATCAGCAATCATCCTCATCTTTGAAGTCTGAAAAGAAGTAAGGGTAAGAGGACAAGAAAACATGTAAATATGAAACGATCAGCTAAAGAGACTACCAATGTGCTGAAATAATGAGGGAACATTTGCCCCATTAGTCATCCAGAGCAGGATGCTGCTATTTCTTACACCATGACAGAGATTTTGCCACATCATTACAGCCTAGGAACCTTTACACACATATTGTACACACATATGCTCAGACTGGAACAGAGGCATGTGCTCACATTTTGAGGCACAATAGGAGCAAAGGTCAGAGAACATGAAAGCCCAGAGTATGCTCCCAGCGAAAGCTGTCACTTGTTAATTTGTCTAAATGTAAATTAACAAGTGACAGCTACAGTCAGAGATGTTTAAACAGATCCAACAGTGTATTCTTTGTATTATTCTGTGTTTTTTCTTTTGTGAAGTATATCAAACATCTGTAAAGGACATGTTATGTCTAAACAAACATATATTTGAATGAAAGGCTGTAATTGACTCTAAACATAGAATATTTCTTCTCTACAAATCAGACAACTAAATGAGTTAAACACTAACACTTAAAAAGCAGAAAGATGGCCTAATCTCTGTGCTGTACCATCACAATGGCAGCATTTGTTATATTCAATAGTTAATATAATTTAAATACTTAATTAAATAACAACACAAATATCAATGTCATATTATTTGAAAATCACAATTACAATCTTTGTCTAATTTTACCCCTCACGTTTAGCTGCAAATTTTCAGAATGCAAATAAACATCTAAATGATGGCAATTACCCAGGAGTGAATCTCCACATCTATCTGTATTGCTATCAAACAAACAGGCACAAAGTGTCTGGCAGAGTGCTCAGGTCCTATGTCTCACTGCCATATTTAGCTTCCATTGATATACGAATTAGAATTATTTTCCTGTCACTTGGGTACAAAAAAGCTTAGTAGTCATCTGTGTGAGAAGAAATATGGCAGCGCTAATCAGCAGATAAAGACTTTGAAGATGGTTGTTGTACAAAAGGGGAGAGGTTAGCTGACAAATGCCAGGCATTCCGTCTGTTCCTAATTAGCTTTAGCATTTAAAAGAGAGGTGGAGATGGAACTGGTGATTTAATGAGAAGCAGACTTGGAAAAAGCTCAGAGATGATCTTCTTAATGCCTTTTAGATGTTTAAAAATATATATTTTATCGTATTTTCACTCCAACTAAAAACAAACATACCTTGTCAATTAATGTAAATTACTTAAAGACAGCGAAAAAGGTGCTTGGGTCTATAAATATTTGGACTACGACACCATTTTAATAATTCTAACTGCGGTGCAAACTTTTTTAAATTGCATCAGCTGTTTAGGCATTACATCCACTGTGGAAATGTTTTAGCATATAAGCTTGTGAAAAAATAGATATTGGTTCCCATGGTGGGGCTCTAGACATGATCCTGAATCATCCACGGGAAGGAATAATAGATTGTCCTCTAGTTTCAGTCTACCGACTCCTTGGTTTCATACAGTGAGCACAGCCCTCTGGTTCAGAAAGAGTTGGAGAGATCACGCGATTATTGCTATGGGTCTGCCAGTCACCCATGACTGACTTGTAGAACCATGCTCTACTGAAACATTGAGTGAATGATAGTTTTCTGTAAAACCCAACCCCCATTCTCTCGCTCACTGTCTCTCTTTCACACACAGGCACACGCACACACACACACACACACACACACACCCTATTACGTATGTGCGGTCTCCATGGCAATGCGTGGTATCACTATGGCACTGGTGGCCTAGCATGCTGCAAGCTGCTGTTGGAGTGGAGTGACTGTTACCCACACGCACGCAAAGAGCAGAAAGCCAGGAGAATGTTGCCAAAGAGCTAAATGATTAGAGCAGCAACCCTCTGAGCTTATGAGACTGTTCTTGTCTCCCTTATAATGTTTCACTTAATCCCCTCGCGCTGTACAAAAAGGTTAAATATCCTCTTATTGCCATTTGAAATGGTGCGTGAAGATAACAATTTACTTTGACATTAAATATCTTTATACAGTCAGTAGCACATCGTACCATGCAACTTTGCCCACTATTAAACACCACTGGCAAGGTTAACCGCTGTAGTTTTTTCAGTGTTTGCCCTTGGAGGCCAATTTTCTTTCACAATTTGAAAAAATGATTAAGAGCTAGGTGTTATCATGACAGCCTTGGGTTATTAAAAAGATGAGATAGCTTTAATTGTTGGGTGATATTTAATAATATAAAGGTTAACACAGCACTCAACCTTGGGAATACACACGCTATCTTCTAGTTTTCCTCTGATGTTTAACCCTTTTTTGCCAGAGATGATGGAGCACTAGGGTTACCCTTTGGGTTTCTTTTGTGGTTGCTGGACAGTTACATGTATACACAGGACAAACATTCTTTCCCCCCCAAGTCCTGGCTTTTAAACATCTTTTATAGTTTAAATGTGTCTGCATTATAAGTAAAGATAATGTAGATATTAATGTAAACATTTACGTATATTACAGAAAATTAAAGGAAATGGGGAAAAAGTATGCTGTATGTTTTCTGTTCTAAGATTCTGGTGCAGGCAGACTACCCTATAGACTCTGCATTACTACAGTTGTGACAGATGCTATCAAAGTTGTATGTTTTTAGCTATTTTAAGCTATTTTCTCAGTCTTCCTTTGTGTATGAATGCATGTGTGTGGGCAAAGCAGAGGCAAGGTGCCCCAGGGAGGTTACAGTAGACTGGCATTCTGGGGCACTACAATAATTAATGCACCCAGGGCATACTGCTACACAAGCATCCAAACACACACACAGACAGACAGCTTCTGTGTTTGTGTGTGCCCTTGTGTTTTACTGACTTGTCTTATTTACTGTGTCTATAGGTGTTGTTTACAGAGGTCACTCTGTTTCTTTCTGTTGTTGAGAAAGGAACAGATTTTGCATTTGGACAAAAGCCAGAGATTGCTGTGTTATCGCCAATCTGTTGATTTTATGACAGCATAATTCATGAGAGCAAGACTTCAAATGAGCACAGTACAGCTATATTGCACTTTTGTCCTACAAAAAAAATATTTATATATATATACAAAGACAAAAGTGGAGTAGAGGTATGTTTTATTCTGAAACATCTTCACAAACAAAAATGATGGATTCAAGATTTAAAGAAGCATTATAAAATATAACTTTATTTTATTGTTAGCATTGTTTATTGTGCCACTGCACATCCCCACACCCAATCCCACCTTTCCTTCATAGAAGGGCTGCTACAAAGATAAGCACTACAGCAAGAGGGACCTTCTTTGTATCTCGTGTGCTTGTACACAGCAGCTCGACTCTCATCACCTCACTCTGTCTTGCTAACTGTCAGTGATAAATCCAGTCATCTCCAGATTTGCAACACTGTTTGCTTGAGTGATGGTCTGGCTTTATCAATAGTAGGACAACTGACGCAAAACGTGAGATTATTGGTGAAAGCTGCTGTTCTGTGTTTACCCATGGGCAGAATTAGAGGCTTTGGATAGTACCAGATGTGGGTAATGTATGCTGCATTGTATAAATAAGATTGGACAGAGTTTTAATATTCCCCTTTCCCACTGTGATTAAGTTGTTTTTATGGCACGTACAATACTGTGCATATTAATATTCAGCAAATCTCCTAAACATACAGTATATTGTAACGTTTCACTTATAAACTACTCCTATTTAACTTGCAAGAGTCACAGACCATGCCAAGTCCGATCAGCTTAACTAGTTGCTTCATTATTTAGTTAGTCCTTTGTCGCGTACAGTATTACAAAGTAAAATAAGTAAAGTAAAGATAAAAATCACAAAATGCTTCTTGACAACCACAGCATAGCTACAGTATGTTAATACACATTTTCAACATAAAATATTTCTTGTCTGTATCTGTAATTCTGTTGTTTAAAAAGCTTAGCCTTTCAAGTGAGGAGGAAGGAAATGAAAGGAAATATGAAAAGGTATACAGAATTGATTACAACAGCCAATATTTGGTTTTGCATTGCGATATTAATCACAGTGAAAATGTCCCCTACAGCTAGCATACATTATGGTGCAAACTGCCACACAGATAATGACCCTCTAAAGGATATTTATTACTGATATAATATGTTAATATTATAATTATATTTTGTTAGCAGTCCTATACTGTTAGAACATGCGAGGTTAAAGGTTAGTTTTGTCTCTAGACCATTATATTGAGCTATCTATGAAGCACATTGAAGATGGTGAATGGAAAAATTAAATACTTTCAACTCTCACCCCATTTGAGCCCTTCTCTTGTAAATCAGTATATTGTAACTGAGTGCGAACAATTTACAGTTATCTATCAAAGCAATCAAAGTGATTACCTAATATGTATTGTGCAAGTTTTCCTTCATTTTCTCAAACAATTCTCAATCAATCGGACGTGGACACAGGGTTGTGGGTTTACAGTGGTTTTTGGGCCTAGGACACATCAGATTCTTTGGGCTCTCTAGGTTGCAAGGTGGTGCCCCTGTGAATCCATCTTGTTCAGAAACGTCCAGACTAAGTTGGGATCTGGGGGGTTTGGAGGCTGGATCAATTCCTCAAGTCGCTTCAGAGCTATTTTTGTAGTGTGATGGCACATTTTCCAGTTGGGAGAGGCTGCTCCTGTCTGGGAGTGCTTTTATCATGGTGGGTGTGCTTAGTGTGCACGAATGTTCTAGTGGGTGGTACGTGTCAAACTCACTAATATCCATGTGAATTATGGTATCCAAGCTTTTTTAGCAGACCACTGTAATGTAACACGGTTATAATTGTTTCACTCCACCTCCCAGTAAATATATATTTTCTGATTCAGGGCCCACAAAACCCCTGAAATATATTTATATATGAATTTCATTAGGGAAGACTTACTATGATTTTTTTTCATTTATTTGCACTCTTGACCTTGATGATTTGTTTGTTTCACCATGTTGGTGTTAGGTATTTCATTTAACTAAATAATCTGTAGTAGCTAAAGGTGTAATCTTACAATATTCCATATTGTTTGTAACAACAACAGTACAAGTCAGTTGTAGTGTGTTGATTTTAAATGTAACTATACCTTAAGGAGAAAAAGGAGACAATTACTGGCCCTTTAGTAATAATAGTTATTTTATTAAAATATGGGGGCACGTCTGGTATAATAGTATAGACATACTCCATCTTATTACATTATGGATTTAAGTTTAGATTAGAGCTTAAGTGTTTCTCTATTACTGTATACTAAATTTAAAATCACTTACAACGACAAATGTAGGTTTTTCCCTTTAGGGTGCATTGATTGCCCCATAGCCTGGCCACTTGCTCCATCTAGTGTTAAGAAAGCGCACATGGTCAGTCAGGGTACACTGCCCTCATCACTCAGGTTGTAGTTCTCGTCACTCTGCTCTCGGTTTTAGGCCCGTCCGCGATCAAGTCCCTTTTCACTGTATTTTGCTGTACTTTGACTCAAATTAAATGGTATAATTAAACCAATAGAGCATGCTTCGTGGTTTGCACTGAGAGAAATGTATACTGCAATAATGAATAACAATCCCATCTTATATTTGGTCAGCCTCAGTGTTACTGGGCATTTTGAGAAAGGAACAGTTTCAAGGAACTGAGTGCAAATACGGACAAAATACACTTTGTCTAATGTGTACTGTTGTCTCTGCTGAATGCTTATCGATATTTTTCCGTCGAAAGTAGACAGGCCTGTATAACAGGTTTAGTCAATGCATTATCGGATCATTTTACACATTTCTTTGTAATATGAGAACAGTCTGCACTGCCCCAAGAAGGAAGTACAAGCTTCGCCTGCGTTTTTTTGTTCATTTGTCTTCAATCTGCTCCCCGCTCGTCCGACTTCCCCTCCGAGCGGAGCAATACATTGAACGTTTTTGGCGCACAAAAAAGACCTCTAAATTAATCTTTAATGAGCTTTTTAGAAGTCATAATGGCCTGTCGCTAATGTCCTATAACGATCTTCCTGTTGGTGGCCACGCCTCGATGCTTTCTCTTTCACTACGCCTCTGACAGTTGTCTGACAATGGTTTGAACTTTGCTGAATATATCGTCTACTCGCCTTCACTTCACCACCCAAGGACTGCAAGTATCCAAGTCACTGCTTTGGCTACGCTGTTGAGAAAATATGACTTTTCCCTTGAGAAAATCAGTTTCAGGTAGGCTGTTTATTTTGTTTTAGAATTTATGCTGCTTTGAAAAAAGGAAAAGAAAAAGCAATTATCTTTAATTATTGGGACTAAACTCGTATTTATTTCTCTCTTTTTTTGTAAAAGTGTTTCTAGTAAAGTCGGTTATTGTGTTTTGTCGTCTGGTCCATTTGGTCCATTTATTTGTATCCTACTGCATTTAAGTTGCTGTCCATGGTGCTGAAGTGGAGATCGCTCCAAAAACAACAACAACACACACATACAAAGGTCTGGGGATCTCATCTTCGCTTATGTGCTTCACTGATTTTATCTTGTTTGAACAAACTTTTTTCAAATGTGGTATTTTTAAGCGAGTTATTTTCAGAATTATGGAAAAAAAGGGGTTATACTCTGTCGAGCTTAATTCTAAATGCCTTTCAGTTGATTTTATTGCACTTCTACTTCCCCAGATTTTACACTTAGTTATGCGCAAACTCATATTTATTCAACGCTAGTTATAAACTTGACGTGTGTTACTGGTCTCATTTATAAAGCAGTGGATATAAATAAAATATTAATTACTTAAAAAAATATTTTCTTGAGAACTCTAGATGGCAGCATTGGTTAGTCTGTTAAATATTCTCAGTAAAGCAACGGACGCTGTAAGTCAGGCTTGAAAACAACAAAACCGTGGCAAGTTGTTTTCAGCTTTAGATTCCAGACTACGGTTTTTTTTTCTGACACTACGTTTGACACTAAGTTTCGATTTTCATAAAGTCAATTCATAATTCACCTGTAGCTCCTGTAACATTAAGAAATGAAAATTTCACCACGATGTTGGTGGAAAGGGTTTTAGATTGGGGTGATTTCAATTTGTTCAATTTGATGTTTAGTGTTAAGTGAGGATTTATGACATTTTAAGGATACATGCTGATGGTTAATCTACTGTCATTTTGTTGGTTGGGTCTTAATACATTATTTTCATTTTACATTAACTGAACAGTTGACGGTTTTATTCTTTACAGTCATCTGCACCTTTAGGTGGGCATTGGAAATAACAAATATTTAATAATACTACAACTTTAAATGTTTAAAATGCATATAGTTCAAGTAGTATGTGGCTGGGAGTTCGTTCTCACCTCAGTTTAAAATACGGGATTTATTTTTCACATGCTGTTTTCTCATATTTCCATAGGGGAAAATGAGTTATATTGGTAGTTTTTGAGTAACTTTCTGTTCACTTCTGTCAAGTGAAACCAGAAAGGTCTCTAATATGCTCTCTCTCTCTCTCTCTCTCTCTCTCTCTCTCTCTCTCTCTCTCTCTCTCTTTCGCTTTCTCTCTGGACTTTCCGCCTCCACACCTCTACGTACCTTTCTCCTAATATGAATTATCACTACTTTAAGTCAAACGTGTGTGAGTGTGCACACTGACTTGGTTTGTGTCTCACCAGTTAGACTCCCCGTCCTCTCCCTCCTCCCCACTGCTCATTCTCTTGGTTGTAGGTGGGATGCTCTCGGTAGATCAGCTGAGTTTGTGGTTGAGCCGGTCTCGGATACTGACCCAGAATGAGGGAGCTCCTGCTGTTACCTTGTCTTGCTTCGATTCAACAAAAGAGAGAAAAACAATGGGATCTCTGTTGTTATTCGTTTACATCATCTGCGATGTCGTTTAAAAAAGCGGTCTGAATCCTTTTTCCTTTCCTTGTTTTTCTCGTTGTTGTTGTTTTTTCTTAACAGTAGCAGCTACAGCAAGAGATTAGGGAAATCAGATAACGAGCACTGCACACTCCCCAGGCGTCTGCAAACAGGTGTTTCCATCCTATGACTCCGCAGCGAGCTTCATTCATGACTACCATGTGTGCGACCATGTAGTTTAGCGGAAAACTGCTCACCAAACTGTATTTGTGCGCATTTGTTGTGATACCGAGAAAATGATACATTCGGAAGAAGATGCAATGTGCTGTGACCAAAGTCTTTGTACAGCTTCGGATGGAACGCTTGTTTTGTATCCTTTTCGTTACGTTTCACTTTTTTCTCGAGGCTACAACGGACAGTTTCTGAAAAGCGACTAAATTAATGATCAAAATGATCCATGTGGACATCATCTAGCCATCTTCGCTGCACCCCTGGGACTATTCCATTTTCACTAGAGTGCACTTTGAAAGCTCTATAGTAGCCCATATTTAACACATCGTTGTTGTTGTTGCATCGGATTCTGGACATTTCCCCTCAATCTCTTGGATTCAAAGGGGGTGATATCTTCCCCGTTTCTCAGGAAGTTTTTCCCCCAGAGAGCTGCCAAACTGGCTATGGCGGCAGCGATTGCCAGCTCCCTCATAAGGCAGAAAAGGCAGGCGAGGGAGCGGGAGAAGTCTAATGCCTGCCGCTGCGTTAGCAGCCCCAGTAAAACCAAAGGAAGCTGTGAAAAACCAAGTCGACTGAACGTTTTTTCACGAGTCAAACTCTTTGGTTCCAAGAAAAGGCGAAGGAGACGACCAGGTCTGTTGTTCCAATTTCATCAGGCTCTCACATTTTTGATCACTCTGATCATCACCTTTCTTATTACGAGTGCCATTTTTTGCAGTTAAAAAAGATATTTACTATGTAACGCTCACTTTCTCGGAAAAGATGGATGAAAAAGTTGGTGCAAGATTGAAAGGGATGCTTATCAAGTGTATCAACACAGAAGTCGCCTTGCATCTCAAATAATAGTGAGGGATAAATCAAATCAATCGCTCGTTGCCTATCTACTGAACTAGATGTAAAAAAGGCTTAGGTGATTAATCACATAAGACTTCACTGTCACAAATTAATAAGATTTACTGTTCCAATTAATCTGGATAATCACTCCATCAAAAGTAATATAAATTTCACTCTTTTTAGTTTCCAAAATGGATATAATATTTGGTTTCCAGGATGGCAGAACTTAAAAACAGATTAATATTAAACTTCAGATGCACACATTTAAATAAGCAGGTCCCAACTTTCATTTAGAATTTTAATCAAACCTCACAATTAGCTCCAAATAATATTTCCTGCATGCTGTTGCCAAATGCTTTGTTGTTGAAACTTATCCAGCAGGACTAAAAGCATTGGCAGATACAGTATTTTTAAGAATTTCCTGTATTTTAGGTATGTAGTTCTACTGTGAGATGTAAATCCAAGTCCAAAGTGGCTGCAATTTCTTGCATTATTGCAGTGGCATCACATCTTGCTATAGTGTCAGTCTCCTTATGTTTGTGGGTATGACCCTATAGCCTTACAACGTTCCTCTCTGTATTTTCTTCGCACTTTATTCTATCCAATTCACTCATTTTCAAGTTGTTGTTGTTGTAATTCTATGTATAATTCACCTGAAAGTTAAGACATGCGGTTATATAACACTTTGACTATCCTGCAGTTTTTGCATCTTTCTAACATCCAATTTCCAGTTATCCTGTAGGGAAAGCAATGGGTGTTGTCTTTTTGGCGGGTATATGGTGCCTCATCTTTAAGGAAATACATTATATGTACATGCGGCTGTAGAGCTAATGCATTTAGGCTCCTTTATGTCTTTGTGCAAAGTTTTATACCACAATTATTATGCTATCCCCACTCTATAGACTGAATAAACCCTGGCGCAGCGAAAGCAACCTTAGTAAGGCTGGTGATCAGAGCACTGAAAGATGGATGAGATGATAGGACAGCTGAATGGTGTGGTTAACAACAGTAAAGGACACTCCACTTGGGACAGTAACCAAAGACTGAAGAGCACTTAGCACTTATCAGACACTAATGTAACTCAGACAGGCAAAACAGATTTAATATTTAAAACTATCGTTTTTTTAAGACCTTTCTTTTGATGAACACGGTAAAACTATCTTGATTCCATGTCATCTTTTTTTTCTAAGGCTTTCAACAGATATTTCAGAACTCTAACTCTTTCCTTACCATGCAAAATTAGACAGAAATATTATGCACTGTAATTTGCGGTGCTATTTGTCCCTTAAAGTGTGCCTCAAACATTTTGAGAGCATTTAATATACCATTTTTCATTGAAGTTTAGATTTTTATTAGCATTCCTTTTTACTTTTGTAGCTGTCCATCTGTTGGGCAGGTCTGATGGAGTAGAGACTGACAAGAAACATGGATTGAGAAAGAGGGGTTACTTGCATAATTTCAGCCATTTTAAATCACTTCATGCCCTCAGAACCAATTTCTTATTTGGATACTCTTGTCCATCTTTGATCTCCTCTCTGTTGTCAAGCTACTGGCCCTTAGATTTTGCAGACGAAAGACAGAAACCATGCTTTTTAAAATGTTGACACAACACAATTTGATATAACTGTAGCTCTTAATAGTTTGCCATTTAAATACTTTTTAAATAGTTTACCATTTAAATGGTCAGTTGAACATGTCTGACTGCAGCTTCTCTAAGTGAGGCCAGAATCTGTCTCTAATGCTGTCTAGAAAGACATAATTACAGTAGTCTCTAATTCTTTTTCACGAGAAGGTGAGAGCAAAGTAACTTATTATACTCCTTCCAGCATGTTTTTGCTCATTTTGGTTGCATTTGTTTGACTGACAGGTGTCTCACAACATCACATTCATTTGTGACTATTTCTCCTTTTTTTAAATCTCCCATCACGTGTGCCACTCAGCCTCATTAATTACCTGTCGACTCAAATGATTTATTTTGTTTTCTTTTATTTGTGGTTTTAATAGCTGAAAAGCTGTTGGAAAGAGTACAATGCAAGCGGCAGTATGTCCCATTACAAACCTACGAACGACTTTATCTTCCACCTTGTACTCTGTGGTTTCATCCTTGTGTCCTCCTCTCTGCTCTCTTCTTCCACAGAGCCCCAGCTGAAGGGGATTGTGACGAAACTCTACAGTCGACAAGGTTTCCACCTGCAGTTGCAGGCAGATGGAACCATTGATGGAACAAAGGAGGAGGACAATGGTTACAGTAAGTTTCACTCCATTGCACTGGTGTATGGATTTCACTTATTTTTCAATCATGCACCCACTTTACCTTTTATCAGCACTGTGCTATACTATGTACTATAATTGAGGTTACACCACGTATATTCATCTTGCAGTGTGTCAAGACTGTTTCAGGTTTGTCATAAAGCCCATGTTCCTTAAACTGCTATAGGAGAGCTGATATATATATTTTTTCTCCTTATTTGTGGGTTTCTTAGGCTTGACTTTAAATGCTGAATTTCTTTTAACTCTAATAGAGAGCAGCATTTTAAACTGTTCAAAATGGATCTTGATTTTTTTGCCATTAAATTTGTCTTAGCACAGAGAAAATATTAAGTTTGTATACATGTTTGCAAGTATACAAACTAAGCGGTGAAGTAGTGACCCTGTTTAATTTGATCTAATCAAAATCATCCTTTTCCAAACTGAACACAGGTCATAACTGGCTTTTCACACCTACATACTGCCTCTGTCATGAGATCTAGTTTTGCCTTACACTATGTGTGGATGCATTCCTTTCGTTGCCACACACCCACTAGCTCTTTGTTTTCCAATTGATTAAAGAGATCAATGGAAGTGGAATAGCACAGGCACTTGTCTCGTAACAATACAACAGACACTGACCAACTTTTAATTAGATGGTGCAATGAGCACTACTACATATCCCTGAAAGATTAAAATTCTAAAATAGCTGCTGAGTGAAAATAATATCTAACAATGTGGGAAAAGTGTGCACAGTATTCTGTGAAACAGGATTTGTTCAGTGCTGTGTAATCTCACCATTAAGTGGATGTAAACACTACTGAGGCCTTTGAATTAGTATTCATTGAGTCCCTTGGTGTCTCTTACATATAAATAGCAACTCTGTGGATGTAGGATGTTTTCTAAGCAGAACAATACCTTATAATGTCCTGTGAAGTTTGTTTCTTAAATATAAGAATATCAAGTTCCATAATACACAGAGCACACCGTACAGTAGTATAAGCAAAGCTTATGAAACGTTTTAAACAAACATGCACCCACAAAATGTTGCACTTCACTTCTTACACAGACCACCCCACCCATAACATCTGGATGGTCTCATTTTTATTAACTTATGCAACAACTGACCTGCATTATGGGACTAAAATAGTTTTGAGGAAAAAAAAAATAAAGATTGCTGCTGAATAGGAAAAGGAAAAAGAGTGAAGCTCTTTGCACTGCTCCAAAAATAGCGTTGTTAGGCGCTGGGTGCGCTTGTCTCCATGGTGACGGAGAGCACAGTCCTCTTGGAGCTACTGGTGTCTTGTGATGGTGGGAGAGGACCTTCTTAAATGTGTACACACACACACAGATACACAGAAAAAACAAAACAATACAAAACAAAAATCAAACCAAAAAACAAACAAAGATTTGATGTTTGCTACTTCCACTTGTTTAGAAGACCAAGTGTGGCTGTTAAACCAGTGGCACAAATAAGACATACACGTCTCACAGAATAATATGGATTTTTCCTCCAATATTATACAGTATCAGATATTTTCTTGTGTTGTATCACAACTAAGAAAACCTAGTAGGAAAATCAAGCACTACAATGAGACAACTCATTTTTGGGGAGGAAAGAAGGAGGGCATTTTACGGTTCAGCATACACACTATTGGCAATCTTGAGGCATTCATACCTCATTTTTGTAAATAGATTTAGATGTTTGAATCCATAATTTTAGATACTCTAAATTCCAAAGGGCAAACTAATTGGCACGGCTCCTAATGGGTAACACATCAGTTATGTCGTACACAGTCAAATCACATCACAAGAATCTTATTTATTATTTATCTAATTCAGTCTTTTGTTTTTTTTTAAGTAACCCACTTTCCTCAACCAACGAGTCACTAGTTCAACACTAATCTCACCACAGAAGTGCCTTACACTGTTGTCACCGCAGCTTCCTTTTAAGCTTCAATACTTTGTCATATTGTCATATTCAGGCTACTCTAATTGCTGTCATGTTGCTCCCAGAATGAGTAAAAGAAAGTATTTAAAATTTGACTGTTCTGTGACTTCATGGCTGTTAGTACGTGGAACTTAGACAGCTTGCAAGCAATTGTGAAAACTATCCCTCAGGCCTCCTCGCCCTTCTTACTCCATATTCCTCTGTGCAGCAGGAAAGGTCTGTGAGTGGGTGGTAGACCTATCATCCTCTCCAGTGTGCTCAGGTGTTTCTAGGATCCAAGAAGTAATTGAGTTTCACCTCTCGAAAATCCCCATCAGTAAACCAGCTGGTAATCCTTCTGAAATGAAGTAGAGTGCAGATGTGTACGTGCGCATCTTGGTGGGAGTATCGTGGCAGAAAACTCAGTGGAATGATGCAGTGAGAAGGGTGCAATTACAAAGACAAGAACAGCAAGAGGTTATAGAGAAAAGGAGCCATCAAATCAGGTCAAAATTACAGACAAGGAATAGTCGATGCAAAATTGAATTACACAGGTCCAAATACAATTACAGAGGTCCAAAATCACTAAATATATATTTGGCAATCATATTTATCAACTTAAATGCATAAGTTAGAGTACACCTAAAAATACTGCAGAAACTCTGTGGTAGGTCCTACGTTTGAGCTGTATAAAACATCAACATGCACCAGACTGTAATTTTTACGTCTTCAATATAGAGCGTTATGATTTTTAGTGCCATCTTTTTGAAAGCTGCATTAATGATGACGGTCTTCATTTCTGTTTGAGAGGGGATGCATCTTTAGCCAGACAAGTTAATTAACAATTTGACTTAAATATACTACAAATCTCACTGAGAATTGCATGAAAGAAAATCTACCATACAAATGCAGCATTCAGCAGCAGTGAGCAAGAGTTAGAGTTGTTAGGAGAAATAAACAGAAGGTCTGATTATATAATGAATAGATTAGAGAAAAAGTATGATAACTGTTGTATAATATGGACATTATAAACTAGACTTTACCAAAGTACTTTAAGAATATAAGCAGCTCTCATATATTACTTGTGATTAGCCAAGTCACCATCTAATTCATGTGTCATTTTAAATGGCTGGAAAATACACTCATGGGATGGATTATTTGAAACATGTCATAATAGATATTATAATAGACAAGTATGTGAGCAGGTCCAAGAGTGAACGAGTCATGCATAATTCAGCTGTTTGCCTAACAATGGCCCTGCTAGTGTTTTTCTTTCCAAATGTCACCATTGCAGTGCTTCTCAGTGGCAGGCGTCACTAAGAAGACTGACAGGATGGTTGGATGTGCACCCAAAGGTCTTGCATGTACACAATCATTGTTGACGAAATGTCTTCATAATCAAATTACTGAAGATTATGGTAAATGTCTCCTGATTAATGGCTCCAAGCTCAGAAACAACAAGCCTAATGGGCTTGTGACTTTTTACTCTGCAGCTGACTCAACTACACAAGCACCTAAGAATGTCTCTGAAAATTGTGGATGCATGGAAGAGCATCCACCATGCATAAACAAAATTCATTAGCATTAAGCAGGAGGATAGCTGGGATAGATGATTTGAAACATGTCAATATGGATATTAGAACAGACAAGAGTGTATTTTCGGAAGAATACTTCATGTGGTGACTGAAGATGGAAACAAAAATATGGATTAAAAGAAGAGAAGGAGTAGAGAGATAAGAAAGAGACAGAACTAGAGAGTGACTAGTTCTGGGGCTTTTCACAGGACCAGAAATGACCTGAAAATGCAGTACAAAGTAAATATATCACACATGCCTTTGAGCATTGTATATAATAAAAAACCCAGAGAGAAGGGAGTCAGTAGGGTTTTTTTTTTTTTTATTAAGAGCAAAAGAAATAGCCTATCATAAAACCCCTATAGCGTGCTTTGCTCTAAGGACTTTACAGATCTACTAAGTGGCTGACAAGAGTATCTATAGTAAGGAAGCACACTGACTCACAGCTCAACTGACAGAAGTTTACTTTCTCTTCTCGTGTGTCTAAATCGAAAAGTTCTTATAATGTGATAACATAAACGCTTGACACTCAAAAGGGGAAATTTAAGAGAAATATTATTTTTCTATGGACTTCACTTGCTTTATTTAGTACCATCAAATGTTACAACAACAACCCACAGCAGTGGCAGTGGAATTTGGGAGTGTGTCCAACAATAGTCAGTACAATAGGCGAGAAGTTTCCTTTTTTGGGAACAGAAGCAAGCATGGAGACTCTCAGGTGGACATTCATGTGCTTTCCTCTAGTCAGCCTGCGGTGTTCAGTGCCAGCAACTTATGAAATCTACACGTGTGCGCACACACACACACACACAATACAGGCTAACACTAATTAGGTAGAGATATACTACACAGCAGCCGGGCTGCCGCTGGCTCTGTCAACCTCACAATTTGCTTTTAGCCCTCCGGTCATAGACAGGTTTTTGTATATGTGTGTGTGTGTGTGTGTGTGTTTGTATGTGGTCTATGCATGCAAAGTTATGCAAGGTTTTCTTTTTCTTTCTTAGATGTGAATGCAGAATTAGCAACACAAGAGCTAAAACAATAAACATATGGTTGCTTTCTTTGTTACCGTTACCAGTGGATTCTTCAATGATTCTCAATGATTGCATTTTGCTGTACTGACTGTGCTTTGACTACAGTTACTAAAAACAGCATGACATGTCCTCCTGCACTTGTGGCCATAGTAACCCCATTTACTGTTAGATGACATTGCTGCTGTAATATCAGTGAAACAATAAAATCATAAAACAATATTGTAATTGGTTTACATTGACATTTTTTGTTATTTACCATATATATTGTTTAACATAAGTGCACTGTTTGCAGAATAAATTTGTTATCATTTGTTTCTCTTGTCCAATCTCTTTCTAGCCATGTTCAACCTTATTCCAGTGGGGCTACGAGTTGTGGCCATCCAGGGGGTGCAGACCAAACTCTATCTGGCTATGAACAGTGAGGGCTTCCTGTACACATCGGTAAGACACATCATACTAAGCCTGACTAAAAAGAAAAACACAACAAAACAAAACAAAAAATGATCTAATTTAACACGAATAAGGAGTTCAAGGAGTGTGTAAGCAGTGAAAAAAAGTGCATCATTCAGTTGTTTGCCTACCCCCGCTAGTGGGGTTTTTTTTTTTTTTTTTTTGCAAATGCCACCACCGTACTACCTCTCAGTGGCAGGTGTCACTAAGAAGACTGACAGGCTGGTTAGATGTGCACCCAGAGGGCTTCCATGTACACATTCCTTGTAGACAGAATGTCTTCATAATCAAATTACTAAGAATTGTTCTTTATGGTAAAAGGTCTCCTAAATAATTAATGGCATCAAGCTTGGAAACAACAAACCTAATGATCTTGTGACTTTTTACTCTGCAGTTGCTGCTGACAAATTATCTGTTACACATTTTGAAAACAATGAGATGAACAAAGAAGACGATCAAACCTCCTGGCCACTCTGTCTCTGGCCTGAATGTACTCTTTCACACACACAAGCACCACTTAATAAATAGGTTTATGTGGAGCTGACACCATTACTTTAAATTTGAAATTGGCAATAGAGCTAAAACCTTAAATGTGAAAAGAAAATATTGAAAAGTACTGAGCAGCATAAAATATGTAGCCACAGTCACTCGCTGGTTTTGTACTTCACACACACCATCGTGATTAATATTTTGGCCACTGTTGATTTTTTGGAGCCACAAGTGAACTTGGACGGATGAAAAGTGGAATGCAAATTTATCATTTATTGTTTGCTATCTTGGTTAGCAAGTTGCAATCATTACTGTATGGCTACAATGCATAGTCAGACATATCAGCTAATTGTTGCCAAGTAACAAACTAAAGTAACAAAATACTGAAATTTCACTCACCAAAACTAAGACACAAACTTTTTAGTTGACTGTACCAAAACAAAAGCCATGGCATAAGTCACATAATCCATTAAAATGATCCTAAAGGCACTAACAGCACACAGATAAGTCCACTTTAATGATTATCCCATGAAAAAGGAAACTATCCACAGAGCCAAAAATGTCTTCTGTACCTGATGTAAATATAATTCTTCAGCGCTGCTAAGATGGACATTTCAACATGAAAGTCTGTGGAGTCTGATTACCATTCGGAGAAACTAAACTCCCGGTTTTTCCACTTTTGTGTTGGCTTTATTTTTCTTTTTGGTACTGAACAAAGATTTGCTGGTGCTTTGGTGTGAAGGTTAAGTGGTGGTGGGAGGGACTGAAGAAAGTTTGGCAATCCAGGGATAGTTTGCATGCTGTTTACGACATACTGGGACATTCTTCTTAAGCCGATATCAGCCTTAAGCCTTTGGCTCCCTGACAAAGCAATTGCTGCTATGAATTCATGTGGAACTTCCAAGCTGCAAGTGTGTCTGTTTGTCTTTGCAGTTTTTTCCCCTAAAATAAAATGGATCAGGCTTAAAGTTTGCTTGACTAATAAACATATGCACATTTTACAGAGATCCACTTGAGCATTAACTAACATTAACTCAATTATGTTGCTAATTAACCCATAGTAAAAGGCAGATAAGCCTTTGATATCCCTCTCAGAGGCCAGTATTACTGCTGCTATACAATGTCTTACAAACATGTAAAATATCTGGCAGGTTCAACATCCAGTAAGGCAGAATTTAGTATGTGTACATACAGTAAATAAACTGGTTCTTATATAGTGCTTTGCTATTCTACTTGAGCACTTAAGGTACTTTATAATACATGTTTCATTCAACAGTTCAGTCATTTGTTTCTATGCCTAAGTGCTTTCTATGTAACATTCACACACATTCATGCTTTGACGAATCAAGGTTCAGTATGTTGCCCAGGAATACTTTGGCATACAGACTGGAGCAGCCATGGATTAAAGCACCAACTTTATAATTAGTAAATGACCTGCTCTACTGCCTGAGCCACGACCAAGCAAGCAATAATGCTAGCTGGCAAATTAAAAGTAAACTATAACCCAGTCAATTTATATGTATTAAAACAAAATGATTGGCCTGTTGCAGAGGTGGCATTGCAAAAAAACAGTTAGATTCAAAGCAGCAGCTCTAGCAAAGACTTAAACTCATTTGAGATGATATGAATATGACCTTTTAAAAAAATCTACAGTCAAGTGAGAAAGTTTCAACAGCCTTCAGTCTTTACTGAAAGTCTCTGAGATACTCACTTTATCTATTAAAATATTTTCTTACCATTCCATCAGTTTGTAGGCTTGAATATATCCGTGCTTTAGGCAGACGTCAGACAGGAAGAGTGACAATCACTCTGATTTATGCAAATTTTATGCAGATTATATGGAAATTGTGCTCTGGCTATCCCCTTCTATAAACACCTTTCCTACATGCCAAAACATTAACAGAAGTTGAAGGAAAAAAAACAACACTGAGGAGAAAGTGTCTGCATTAAAAAATAATGTTAGCATAAAAATAATGACCTCAAAAAACAGACTGAAAATTAAAAACATAACAATAGTTGTTATATGAAAATGAACCCTCTGGGGTCGATGGACACGCCGGCGTGTCAAAATCACATGACTGATTTAAGATGACACAGCAACAAGATGCAGCGACCCAGAATCTCCATTTCAACTTTTTCTGAACAAAACAGTGGTGTTTACAGCGGCAAGAAACGGTAAAAACGACGTTTTCTAAGGACAGCGCTAGCAAACACTCTCAATCTATTGCCTTAGATTGGCATAGTATGCATTTTTTTTACGTTTCAGTCTTGGTTACATGTGTTGTATTTGATTGCAACAACTCTGTTGTGAATTTGAAATAACATTTTAAAACACGTTTACAAAATAGACTATTTGACGGTGGTACTTCTGGTTCTGTCACTTCTATGCAGATGATATTCATTTATTCCAAACTTTCTGACCAGGTTTCCTGAAATGTTTGACTGATGCCTTCTTGTTGAACTCAAAATCCAATTCAAAGTCTATATAATCACACTAAGAACTTTCCACTGGTAAGACATCTGCATAGATAATGAGTCATTACAACACGAGATGGTGTGTAATGTAATTTTACCCCATTTGTTTCTCATCCTGGTGAGATTCTGGCTGAGTCTGGCGGCATGATCAGTGTTATAAGTGAAAAAGATGTTTTGGGATGATGTGAGTTATATATATATTTACATCTTTTAGGGAAACAAGTATCTGGATCATCATATTGAAAGCTCAGTTTCTATCCAATGAGGGAATCCCAGGGCAAAATGCTAAAACAGTATTTTACATATGCTGTTTTATATGTAATAGATATAAAGAGATATAAAAGAGCTCAGATCAAATAGAGTAGTTTTGTTTTTTGTTCTTTTTTAAATTGTATGAATGCAGATAGGTATTGGGTTGTTGAGTTTTCTATTTCAGCTAAATTAGAAATGAAACCGAAGTGAATAGAAAGCCAACAATTAGTATTTGTGTTGTTGGGATAGCTGCTCTGGTAAAGTGTTGGCTTCTAGCCACACATTAAGCCAGGAGTCAGTTATTGTAGGGAGAATCCTAATCAACAGTGGAACAGCAGATAATGTGCTCTGGGTTGGGAATTGAGTGGTGCTGCTATATTATAGATATAGTTATATAGTTATTCTGCATTCATTGGTTTGTGCATAAATAAGTGTGGAAACACGTTTGTAATAAAACAAAGGGGATTCCCGAAATTCATATATAGGCAGATTACAGATTACATTTTAGACACTAATATTATTTTGTCATTTATTATAAATGTATATGCATTTTTAGATTCAACCAGTGCTCTGCATTTCCTTTGATCCCAATAAGTGAACACCTTTTTGAGCATAGACTGCTTTGCCTCCCTGTGTATTTGATCATACATTACGATGTGTTCCGTACATTTAGGAGCAGGAGACATACACCAAGAAAAAGGTAGTGTGAGAGAAATGAAAAGTGAGAAAAAAAGAATGCACATGTGTGGGTGAGACAGAATGCACCAGTGAAAATATATTCATCTATCAGTGTTAACGTGTGGGAGAGGAAGATCCAATTAATATGTAGTTTACTTTACTATCCTCTATTTTTCTGTTTGCTTCTCTCCTTTGTCAGAATTAATGAAGCATGTTTTGCATTAGAATTCGACTAATATTATTAACAAGGAATAACTGCTGTTGGTATAATCTAAAAGAATCAACAAAAACATACAGTTACCAACTCACTGCTTTTTAATATGGATAAAACAATGCTTGCTGATATAGTTTCAGATCTGCAAGCATGTTTTTAGATGCTGAGCTAAGGTGTGTGCACATATCTCACGAGGTGCCTTAGAAGTGGTGTTATTAATTTCCTGGTGGGTCAAATTTGAATTAGTGTGAGTCACTATGGCTCCAGTTGAGTCTCGTCTAGACTGCTGTGTGTGAGCATACGTGTAAAATGGAGAGTTCAGGGCTCTTGGGGTGAAGATATTTATCAGGCAACTACTGAAGTTTATAGGCTAAAATACCTGACATTTAAATCTATACAATGGTCATACATTCTGTGAAGTCCTGCATGCTCATTTAAAAAGTGCCAAAAAATACAAAAGTTAAAGGACAGAGCATCAGAAGAGTGGGTTGGAAAAGAAAAAGGTTCTTTTTGAAGTCTCACTTACTATTTTAGTTTATGTTTAGAAATGCATTTTAACTCAGAATATTTTTCTTCAGAGGCCATTAAAGGGCATGTTTTCTTCTTTAAAATGTAACCAAAACATGTGTTTGTAGTAAAAAAAATCTTTTCTCACTTTTCATGACAATCTACTGCCTGTGAGGTTTGTGTCAGCAGTCACAAATACAAGCTGTCAGCATGTGGGGCATTCAAGAGTCATCTGTAAATTGTAATTACAAAAAATATCCCATGAACGCTCTTCAGAACTAGCACTGCACAGCAAATAAAATTACAGATAGAAGGGTATCAAAGAAGTGTATTATGTCCTTGTACATTATGTATTTGTGTTTTAGTGCACTCCTGT